TTAAGGATGATCTCAAATCAAAATGCATTCATTACAAAAAGAAGACATACCACAGTGTCGAAGCTGCTTGGTAGATAAAAATTTTATCCAATCATCGATCTTTCTTGTTTCAAACTTCTCAAAATGAAGCCTCCCACTTAGGATACTATTGTTCAAGTTTCCATTGGAAGAGCAATCAACAAAGATATCACTGTTTCTTGAGAAATACACCATCTTAATGAGCGATCCTGCACAAAAGAAAAGAAGGGGAGGCTGATGGAAATGCCATTTTAATCAAAATCAACTTAACATTTGGTAAGTGAGCTGACAACTGCCCATTTATAAGGCTATGGACATCAGCCAAAAACACATAGCTTTGGGTGGAATACCCCCATCTCATAAACAGCTCCAACGTTGCACCACACTCCGATGTAAAACAAATATATCCCAGTTTCTTAGCACCCTCCTCACGAGTTACCTACGCTTACATGTGGTTCAAACAAAAAGGAACACTTTGCCTATCCCACTTCAGTAAAACTATGGAAATAAAAAATCAAAAACTAGATTTTGATTGGCATTGTTCAATCAACTCTAGTACCTTCACAAATGATACAGGAAACCTTTCATTATCACATCCAACACAGGTAAACACATTCTAGAGCAAAAACGTGCAAGATAAAAAAATAATAATAATAATAACTAAAAAGAACCATCATTTCACTAAAAATAACTATTATTAGATCATCCATTCATGCAAAAATACGAAATCACAATTGGGCATCAAATTGCTGTTCATTTAAAACAATTAAACAAAATTAATTCAAATTTGATTCAACTAGTAGAAATCAATTACCTCCAATGTCAAGAGCAAGATTCGAAACTTCATCTACAGATTTTCTCAATTCTTTCTCCCCCAATTTCTTTTCAATTCCATCCCTCTCCATCTTTTCCTCTTCTTTACTTCTCCTCCCAGTCTTGCAATTTCCGGTCAATCAATTTCGCCTCTACAAATCTATATATACAAGTCTGTATCTATGTTTTTGTACATATATTCGTCAAAAGAGGCTGCTGACTTAGGACACCAAAAATTCCAACTGGCGAAGAATTCAAAGCGTGAAAAAATGGCGTCTTTATCATCAATATTCAACTACCTATCAATCACTGTGCATTATTGACTTTTTTAACATTTGATTTGGATTAGGGCTACGAGTTTTGTGTGTCATCTTTGGAAATCGTAAATAATTTCCTAAATAATTACATATAATGGTCGATTGATTGCCTTTTTAATATTATTTGTATTTTGACCGAAGAAAAAACGATTGAGTATTTGATAGATATATGGACTATTTCCACCAGAGGGAATAATTGATGAATAATTATGAGATTTTGGAGACGAATTTGGTATTAAAACAACACATGAAGGACCGACAATGCAATTTTCCTTCTTGTATCATAGAGTAGGCCAGACAGTGTGGGCGGATTACCCATCCTATAACTACCCTCCCGCGCTTTTAACGGTTATAATTAATTAGGATAAATAGCAGTATATGTCACCAATCTTTCAAGTCATTTTCAATTTCATCCCCAACATTTTTGGGACAATTGTATTTCCAACTTTTGGAAGGTTAACTACATCCATCCAAATGGATGTTTTTGTCCATTTTTCCATTAATTAATCTATTTGACTAGTATATTTAAAAATTAAAAATGGTAAAATAATCGTTTCATTATTATTAACTAAAATATGAGAAGAAGAAAAAAAAAAAGGTAATTCGTGATACGAAAGAGAAAAAGAGAGAACAGAATTTTAAAAAAAATGATTGTGTCATATGTACATCACAATTTACAGATTTGCTTACCAATAGACGATGTGACAAGATTTGATTGGTTCAAAATCTTATCAACCAAATTAAAATAAAAAATAAAATCTTCATTTCCTTTTTGACACCTTTCGTGAGATTCTCCCTTCCCAAACTGTGTCAAAAATGCTACAAAATTGCTACATGTATATTGTGTGTGTTAGGGGAATTCAAAATGGAAAATGCCATCCTCCCCTTTTTTGGAAAAAAATTATATGAATTAAACGTGTTTTTTTGGGGAAATACTTTATAGCAGCCTTTTTGTTGAATATATTAGTATAAATAAAAATAAATAAATTTCCCTCTTACGGAATTTGATTTTCTAAAAAATTTCCCCTTGCACACCGAGGACACTTAAGGAAAGAAAAATACTACTCTGTAATGACTCCAATGGGCACATATTTTCTTTTAGCAAGGTTTCTACTCCTTGTAGAATAATTTCATGAGGAAATCGTTTTATACCAACTTTCTCTAAATGTTCTTCTAGCCGACAAAGCACTCTTAGAAATTTTCCAAACAGATCTAAAAGTCGTTTTCTTAATCCCACAAGCAGCTCTTAATATTGTTGACTTGTCAATTCTATTACCAAACATGCCATAATTGCATTCAAATTAAATTATGATGAACCGCATCCTTAGCGGCCCCCACCTGCCCTGCCCTGCCCTGGACCTTGATGAAGGAAGTAAATCGCAAGTTATGCCTCCAAGGGTATAGGGTAGCAGGCTGCTTGTACACTTGTACTTACCTAATGGTTAAATCCATATTTCAGGATTTGAACCCTTGACGTAAGACTGCTTGTACACTTACACTTACTAAAGGGTCAAATCCATATTTCAGGATTCGAACCCTTGACGCGACAGCATTAAGTAAAGATAAAGTTTTTCCACATTCCCCTTTTACCACTTGGAGATGTGCCCTAGGGGCGCATTCAAATTAAATTAATCGTAGTAGACGTGTCTTCGATTCTGTATATGGAATTCGCTCTGCTGCATATTTTCACTGTGTGAGTTGAAGGCTGACCTCATTGTAATGAACATCCATTTTGATCTCTCTCTCTCTCTATTTTTTTAAAATTTTATGAACATCCATTTTGATTTCTCTTAGAATTCCACATATAAAAGATCTTGATTGTGGCGTCTTTAAAAAAATGTTTATATTAAAAATATATAAAACTATGGGTAATTAAGTAATTCTAATTAGGGTCATTTAAGTAAATAAAAAATTAATTAAAATTATGGTGCAACAAGTAAATTTTGTAGTGATAATATAATTATCCATATATTACAATTTTATTACTTTAGTAGAAAAGATTAATTTATTCCTTAGGTGCTTTGAGAGTAAAATATTATGATCAAACTAACTCCATGATTGGCTTAGATTAAAAGAAGCTTAAAGTTAATTTTATATTAAACTTCAAATAATGTATATAGAGATTAATTGTTAAATTTATATGGAAAAATAGAAGGATTAAGAGACGACGACGGAATGTAATTTTATTTATTGGGTAAAGTATAAAATTATTTTCAAGTAACTTGTATTGAATTTTATGTTTTGGAAGCTAATTTAATTTGAAGAGACGATGATAGAACTTAAGGATCCAAATATATGTCCATGGATTAAATGCTTAATCTTGTATTGCTATAACATGAAATCAAGATCGAAAGAAAGTAAAATAAACCATTTAAATTGGTTCGCTCTCAATGTGAGAATTACATTCACTCACCACAACAAAATTGGCTCCCATTATTTGTATTTGTAACGTATTCCACATATGTTAACTAATTAATTATTGTGTGATTAATTAATTAATTTTCAAAATGAAATTCTCGAATTTTATCTTCGTCATATTGTGTGGGGTTGGGTTGGGGTGGGTGTGGGCATTACCATGTAGGCTTGTGTTCAACAACACAACTAGTGATTAACATTATTGTTCTTTAATTGATTCAATTGTTTGATGAATCGAATTAATTGGGCAAATTTGTTTTGACGATTTTGCTCAAAATTAAAAATAAGTTACTTATTTCGACAGTTGTGTAAAAGTTATTTTAAAAATAAGTATTTTCAATACTGATACTACTTCGAATGAAACTTCGAATATGAGAACTTCAGAAGGAAGTGTTCCTAATTTCTCTGGTTGTGAATGCTCCTATCAATTCTGTTCCACATGGAGAGAAATCGAAGAAATTCAAGGGGGCTGATTTTAAGAGATGACAACAGAAAATGTTGTTTTATCTCACGACCCTCAACTTGGCGAAATTCTTGAATAAAGATGCTCACTCCGTACAAAAAGGGAAAACAATAGGACATCGTTGATTGCTCTAAATGGATGGAAACATTCAAATTTTCTATGCAAAAATTACATTCTAAATGGATTGGACAACTCGTTGTATAACGTTTATAGTTTCAAGAAATCTGCAAAGAAACTACGAGAGTCTTTGGAAAATAAATACAAAACTGAAGACGCCGGAACTAAAAAGTTCATTGTGGAAAAGTTCTTGGACTACAAAATGGTAGATTTTAAGACCGCCATCAGTCAAGTGCAAGAATTGCAGGTTCCTACATGATATTCATGCAGAGAATATGTCTCTAAATGAATTATTTCAAGTGCCTGCAATCATTGAAAAACTCTTTCCTATGTGGAAGGACTTCATCTGAAGAAATCATGAGTAATCATGAATGAATCAAACATTTTATACCACTACATCGGTGACTGCTTTAGTCCATGCAAGGACTTCTTCAACAAGCACACACAGTCTTCTTTTCCAGAGATTGTGAATCCCTTTGGTTGTTGCATGTAGATACTCTACTCAAGTTCTTCAAGTAAGAACGACGCCTTGACATCCATCTACTCAAGCTTCAAGTCATTCTTAGCCACCATTCCAAATAAATTCCGGATGGAACTATGCTTCACAACTGGTGAGAACACATCTGTAAAGTCAACACCTGAAATCTGATTGTAGTCCTTTGCTCCAAATCTAGCTTTGTATCTAACATCTTCATTCTCTAATGTGTCTTCCTTTCTTTTGAACACACATTTGCAGAGAACAACCTTTTTACCTTTAGGTAATTTTTCCAAATCCCAAGTATTATTTTTGTTTAATGACTCCATCTCCTCTTATATAGCAATCATCCATTTGTTAGAATCATTGCAACTGACTGCCTCTGAATATATAGTAGGCTCCTCAGTGGAATTAATGTATTCAACCACACTCAATGTATAAGCTACCAAATCTGCTTCCACATGCTTCTGTGGAGGTCTATTTGTCTGAGAGGTCTATCATTATCTATAAAATACTGTGGTGCTGAAGGTATAGGCAAAATAGACAAGATATTACTGTCAGTCAACCCCGAATTGGACTAATCTGTAGTAAACTGTTTTACAGCCTCTGATTGTTCCTCTGAACTAATTTCCAACTCTACTTGAGTTGAATGATTCAGCTCCTCAATTTTATTAGAGTCCCCAAGAGGTGAACCACGAACCATAACAAGTTAATCAAATACTACATTCCTATTAACAACCACATTTCTTATCTCAGGACACCATAATTTATACTCATTCACACCTGATTTATACTTAAGAAAGATGCAATTTCTATACCTAAGCTCCAACTTCCTATTATCCACATGAGCATAAGAATGACACCAAAAAACTTCAAATCAGAATAACAAGAATGTTTACGAGACTATACCTCTTCTAGTATCTTTTTATCAATGGCAGTTGAAGGTGAGCGTTTAATTAGAAAACAATATGTAGTAGTAGCTTCAGCCCAAAAAGTCTTAGGCAACACAGAATTTGAAAGCATACAACGAACATTTTTCATCATAGTTATATTCATCTATTCTACCATATCATTCTGTTGAGGAGCTCCAAACACTGTCAAGTGTGTCAAGATACATTTAGCTCTGTAGAAACTATTGAATTTATCTGAACAAAACTCCAATACATTATCTGTGCATAGAAGTTTCACCTGCTTTTCAATTTGCTTTTCTACCAATATTTTTCACTCCTTAAGGCCCAAACACACCACTCTTCTACTCTAAGAAAAATACCCAAATTTTCCTGGAGAAATCATCAATTATTATCTACAAGTAATAATGGCTTCCTTTTAATGGTTCCATAGTCGGTCCCCAAAGATCTGATTGGATATGTTCAAGTGTTCCCTTCGTGTTGTGTCTTCCTTTCATAAATCTGACTCTCTTCTATTTCCAAAGACACAATGCTCACAAAAAAATTATTTTGCTGGTCTTCTATCCATCAAGAAGTCCCATTGTACTCAGTTCTGCCATGTCATTTTCACTCATATGCCCTTCAGAATGATTCTCAGATCCTCCAGTAAGACGCATCATCTTCTCCTTAGATAGTAAAGCATCATAGACCTCTTTCACAGCGAGAGGATCCCGAATATAAAGAATAGCATATCTAAAAGTCACATATGATGACGGCAGAGAACACAACAATATCAGCGCCAAATCCTCCTTATCATAATTAACTTTCAATGTCTCCAAATCGACCATGATTTCTTTGAATATTGTTAAGTGATCATCCAATGAAGCACATTCAGACATCCAATGAGAATACAAGCGTTGTTTCAAGTGTATCTTTGTCATGTAAAGTTGCTCCAACTTCAACCACAACCACAATGCAGCGATACTTCTCTTCTTTAGAACATCGTGAAGAATTTGATTTGAAAGATGTAGATGAATTTGAGATTGGGCTTTCCGATCGCTACGGTACTTTTCATCATGCGTCCAGATAGTAGTAATCTTATCAAAGCCAAGCAAGACTTCCTCCAAATCCATCTTCGCTAAAACTGCTTGCATCTTCACTTTCCATAAGGTAAATCTTGTGTTTCTATCTAACAATAGGATATCATATTTCATTGTTGTCATGTGGAATAATCAACTTCGTTCTGATACCACTTGTTATGAATTTGGATCAAGTGATAATGACGATAATGAAATAAGCAAGAAAATAAACACCAAGATTTACGTGAAAACCCAATATGGGAAAAAACCAATGACAAAAGAGGAGAAATCCACTATAATCCATAACAGTTGTATTTACAAGATATCAATGCACTCAATTGAAATCTAAAACTCTCAAGATGTTATATGAATCTCTCTATATTATGTTCTGTCATGTTATTCTATACAAGTCGTGCCATATATATATATATATATAAACCATAGAGAACAAATTGTAGAAGAATATAAGTCCAAAATCGCTTAAAAAACGAAAACGAGGCTGATCCGGATGCGGGCTACAGCCCCGTAGCTCGAAAGATAGGACAGCGCCGACGAGCAACCAAGTTTCGTTTATTTTCTACCTGATTCACTCGAGCTAACAAGAATATGAGGCGACTTTTTCCTTTGGTCCATAATTTTGATCTTTTCAAGACCACTTCAATATAGACTTCAATACCCATTAGAATTTGAGTCAAACCACAATAGATTGATATTGAATTATTTTTATAGGATATAAAATTTTCCTACAAGAATGTCTTTTGGGCATCTAACTGGCTTTGTTTTCGTCCCATCTTTATGATGACAAATGGTAATTTCTTCTCGAAAATGTTTAGGTAAAAAAAGAATTGTATCAATTGCTCATTATTGAATACACAAATAATGACATTTATCATTGCGATCAATTCTACAAGAATGTATTTGTTATGTATTTAAATTCCATCTTAAATGATAAAGTGGAGTAACACCAAATACTAAATTGTTGATTTGTATTTTTTGGGCTTTTACGTTAAGATGTTTCATAAGATGGTGGCTTATTTGAAAATGTTGATATTGAAATTCAATTGTTCAGCTAGACTTATGAAAAATCGAAATTAGTAGAGCTTTTTTTTATTTTTTTTTCTTGTACTTTGATACCATATAACAATCTTGTTAAGAGGAGTAATACATGTCTTAATATATGGATTAACGCTTTTATATTATTCTATGTGATATTTTACATTTAGCAAGCAGCTCGAGAATGGACAAAATTTTAAATTTATCCAATTCTACATAGTTAATATTACCAAACAGCTATTTACGTTAATGACAACATATCATTAACATATTTCACTGAATGCTTTTGTAAGACTATGGAATTACAGATTTCATATTAATTAATTGCAGAAGAAAAGTTGCACTTTTCTTTGCTGCTACATACATATGACCAAATCAAACATATATCAAACTATGTCTTATTTTTTGTTGAGTCCCAAACCAAAAATAGGCCAAGTAACCTATTTAAATAAAAGTAGTGAAATTGAATAGCATAGTTTGGCATCATCAATTAGTTCTTACTTTGCTTCTTCTTAAGCAGCAGAAGGCGCAGGCATGTGGGATACTTCAGGCTCAGGCATTGCAGCTAAAATGGATGGTTTTGAGAAGGTTTCTTCCTCTGCAGAATTAATTTCATCAGCCTTATAGTCCAGCGATACATCCTCGTAAATGTCCCACCATTTCTTCACAAGCATTTTGACGTCTTCCCTATCCATGTTAGCTTCTTGGCCAGTATACCTCCATGGCTTTGATCCCTAAAACAAAATTATACCACGTCAAAAGATTGAGTCACCTTGCTGATATATTTTGGGTCGGTTACATGAATCTTTTTTTTTTCTCTACTCTAATTAAGGAATATTTTTGTAGTAGAGAGAATTCTTACCGCAGCACAGTAGTGAACGACTTTAACTTTTTCAAGTTCGAAGTTCTCAGGATGGCGCCATAGCATAGCTAGAACAAGGTTGTACTCCAGAGGAATTGGTTTGTAGACTTGTTGGAAGAACATGTTGAGAAAATCCTGTAATTTAATTTCATATATATATATAAAGATTAATCAACAATGTCGGGATTTATTATAAGATGTAACACAACAATTATTTGAAGTCTTAATCTTTGTACTTAATATCCTCTTTACTTATGTCAATTGTGATGGTCAATATCACAACTAACAAGGTTTAAACCTAAATAAATGTTTTTTCAACATTTTATGGACCAAAAGGCACATGAAGTTCTCTGAAAAGATAAATAAGCGAAAAAGCATATGTCATGCATCCATCTCAATAATAAATAAATGTTGAATCCCATCGTTTAAGCATCAATAAATTTATTGATCAAAAATAATATTTTCAACATGTTCCCTCATAAGCAGGCTCTGCGCGGGGACCCGATTATCACAAATTTTAATGAAAATTGTTACTGTCGCACTAATTGACCACATTTAATTCACTTTGTTTGAAAGAAGGACATTTATGGTAATTTACCAAATGTTCAATCAGAAATTACGGCTGGAAGGGGCCAACCCTACATTTCCAATCGTCCAAATTTGGATTAAAAATTTGTGAAAATCTCCCCTAGGGACTATAATCCTTTCTTTTATCTTACTCACAATACACGTGCACAATTTTTATAAACATGCGGCAAGAAAGTTACCGAACATAACAATTTCCCGAATATCTTAAATCAACATGACATAATTAAATAACTCACCATTTCTGCAAATGGTGTTGGTGGAGTAATTTTCAGTGTCTCAAGAAGGCTTTCATAAGTCACTGTGCTGGGCTCATACACAAACATTCCAGCATTGAAATACAAAGAAGGAGGGGATCCCATTTCAGTAGGCCAAGTAACCTTATCTGGGCACTGTTGGCAATACCCAATGGAAAATTGTGGAGAGTGGCTCCATGTTTTCTCACAAAAACAGTCCATTACAGCATATAAATAGCCATTTGGTGTGTCCAAAAGATGATCAATGTTTTCATAAACTTGGATGTCTCCATCAAGGTACACCATCTTGCTGTATTCCAAAAACTGTAATAATATAATTTTAAAAAGTTAATTACAAGGAGAAAAAAAAAAAGGATGTTAATGCGTGGTCCAAGTATTTCTCGATTATTTCTTTTGTAAATGGTCAGTTGTATTGTAGCTAGAATATCTGGGAAGCTTGAGTTGTTACAAATGAACCATATGTACTTAGCCCATGTGAAAAGTTGATTTTTTGAGAAGTGATTTTTGTGAAGAAGGTGTGGTTAAGATGTAAGGGAAATTTATGAGAAAATGTGAAAAATATTCTTTTTAGAGAATGTGTGACGGAAAATTAGAGTGCAAAAAAATTATTTTCAAACGAGCTTATTATCTTCGCAGATTGAATTCAATTTTTTATCAGTATTATATAATTTTCCTAAATAAGTATAAAAGTGGCCAATGAATTTTTTTCTTTTCTTTTTTTTCTATTCCCTCTTGCATGTGGGCCATGGCATTGATTTTTACTCACAATAATATCACTACATAGAATTTTGGTCAAAAAACAGGAAAATCTTCAATATAGGGTTTGAAAGTAGAATAAAAAACTTTGTGTAGTAGCAAAGAATTTAGCTACAGAAAAATCCATCTAAAGGATTAATATTAAGGAGTAAATTTTACGACAGTTAAAAATATAATCAATAACCAATTTATAAATGTTTGGATTACTCTTCTTAACAAAAACAAAGTTTTAACGGGAAACTTCAAATTCTTTATAATAATCACTTGTTAGCATCTTCTCAAGTAGTATTTTACATGCCATGCAACACTTCAATCATATTTGATTAATAGGTTAAGGTATTATATATGTCACTTGTATTCCATGCGCGTGTGTGAGTGAGTGATCATACTTACATTCCATATACGTAGCTTGGAGTAGTTGATGACATAGTAAGCCATGGAAAACTGAATATCATTATCAGGTGGATAAATAGGATCGATCTCTTTCACAATGCAACCTTGTGCCCTTAAAATCTCCCGGTGTTCCTCCGGCACGTCGGGCAAGATTGCCACCACTAGAGGGTAAGCACTCTTGACCTTTCTCAAACCCTTAGCCAACCCAACAACTCCTTTAACATAATCACCTTTACCAGCTAAAAAAGTCACATAACCCTTCTTTGAATATCCCATTTCAAGCCCAGTTGGGACTTTCCCAGTGCCAACATCAACGGGTTTTTTTGGGGCCATTTCTTGGTGTGGGATTGTGGGTGGAAGTATAGTATTGTAACACCTAAGAGGGATGTCACCTTACTATTTCACTTTCTTCCTGTGCTTCAATGATAGGATTTGGACCTCCTTAAATAGACCTCAAATGAAATATTCATGCATGTGAAATGAAATACAAATGAACATGTAAGAAAATCTTTTTTTTTTTTTTCTATTTTTGGCTTTTTTGATAAATAATGTGTGAAAGTTATGGAATGTGTGTGGAAGAAATGAATGAACAGTATTTGTTATTTCAAATCACCATTGTTCTAGCCTTATCACCTGAATGAATGGGTAAGATTTAATATTTTTAGGTCATTTTCAATTGGAGATTGACATAATTTGAGTATAATATATTATTCCAAATTGATTCTTTCTTTTATGGGGTTTTTCTGGAATTTTTCAGGGAAAAAGCAATATGGGTGTCATTGTCTGTGGAATATAAATAAAAATAAACTGGCGAATTAAAGAATGAGTTTGAACATTAGACCGACGTGTGCTTTTTAAATTGGAATTAGGTTTTTTTGGCATGTTATTTTGTGTGTGATAGCTGTGATTTTGTTTATTTGTTCTCAATAACTATCCAACTTAGTTGATTCAAAGTTGTCTTCCAAAACAAATTACACATTTTTTTTAAAATCATAATATGTATTAACCATGTCCAATCGTCCTCGTTTCATGTAATTGCTGAACTATCTTATCTAGAGGTGTGTTTGATCCACATTATTTTGAAAGAATGTATTCTGAAATAGTAGATTGATGAAGAATTTGTGGTTGAAAAATAAAGAAAAGTTATTGATGTGATGAATGAAAATGAAAATTTAATGTATACCAAACAGGGGATAGTTAAACCGTTAAAAATAGACAAATTTTTGTTAAAAATTTAATTAGCTTCAATGTGCTCTACATGCGATATATTTATCGATTAAAATATTTTAATCATCAACGCGATAATATTTTCAATAACTTGTCTGAATGGAAAACATCTTTAATTTTAGGGTTTTGCTAGGGGTATATAATTTTTTACATAAAGGGTATATAACTCTCACAAGAGGTATGTACAACTAGAATTATCCTTAATTTTATCAGTGCAATTGCAATGAGAAAGAAACATATATTTTTACAACTAGTTACGCAATTGAAGAATTCCTTTGTGCAAAAATGGATGAAGAATCGTGTCAAACACAAAGAAAACAGGCTTTCAGTTTTGCCTTTTTTAAAAAAAAAATTCAATGCCATCCCACTACAACTAGTATAAATTAATTATGATGTAGACTTGACTACTTGGATCTACGCCCTTCCTAAAGTTCAATGGATATCCATGCACATGTGGTGTGCAACAAAAACATGATAATAATATGCTACAAAGGAAAGTGTTTGAATTAATTTATGACATCATAGGTTTTTTCATCGAAGTAACAATTTTTGAAAAGAAACAAAGGAGCAATTTCAGAGGATTATTGCCATTAAGTATGATTGAGTTAGAGGTGTAAAACCAATTAATGTGGTCCAAATAATATTATTAATAAATTAATTAAAGTGGTTTATTATTGTTAAAAATCTATTGGTCCATTGAGAAGTGACAGTTTTTATAACTATCTAGTTTTATGAAAAGTGAATAGTTTTTTCGTGACCCTTGGACTGCATGACTCTTAGACTGTCTCTCTCTGCCTATAAATGTGAATGAAATTCATCAATTATATAATTCAATAACGGTGAGAAAAAGAGAGAGAACGGTTTCTATATTTTATTAGTTTCTATTTTGCAGGTTTAAATCTTTCAACTATTACTATGGATCAAGATATGTTTCTTGATCAAGTAATCTATATGTGAAAATCATGAATCCTAAATATCTTGGTATTAAAGTTATATAATTGCTTACAAGAGGACCTAATTCCTACTTGTGAAGGTATTCATTTTCTTCATCGTTTCGACTTCCCAATACACATACGGTGGAAAAAGAATTGTGTAATTAAATAAAAGTATTTATAAAAATTGTGTTTGACAAAGTAAGTAATTATATAAAAGTAACTTTGACTTACTTTTAAGCTGAAGATTACCAATACTCTCAAATTAAACAAAAAGAATAAAAAAATATTCCCTTTTTTTCCCCTCGTTGGACAGGGTTGAATAATTTTGTTTAGTAAATAGAAACTTTTCCAAGTACTAGGTGCAAGCAACGTGCAATGCACGTTTGCCTAGTTTATATTTAATAGTTTTGTTTAAGAATTAATTTATTATTAATAAAGATGTAATTTTTTTGGTTAATTAAATAATTAATGATGTAATGTTTATGTAATTGATAAATAATTAGATGTGTGATTTTGATGTTGTGATGTAAGTTGGTGAGATCGAAGAAAATAAGCAAAAGTTGACAAATTTGGAGAAATGGCTAAATTGTAAGGGATCCAAAGTTCGGGGACTAAAATGTAAATACTTAAAAGTTGTGCCGAACCTCACGATGAAGATTTGAGAGTGCTCGGAGTCAATTGGATAAAGGAAGACGTCAATGGAATCAAATTTAGTCAAAAGATGATCACAAATCAATTTCCAACCGAAAAGTTATGCTCCGATGTTTTAGTATCATATTGAGACTTATTTTTGGTATAGAAAGTGATCGAATTGGAGAATGATGTCTGAATCAAAGTTGTAGCCAAATGAGTTAGCTTTCCAACGCATTTTAAATCGTCTCAATCGGATATCAGAATACAAAGTTATGATAAAAACACTGAAAGAAGGTGCAGCTGCCTGTTTAAAACAAGAAATTCCGTTACATAGCTACTTTTAATATGTAGAAGATATCCATTAATTGAAAAGAAATAACACAGTTAAATTTTCTCTCTCTCAATAATATGTCAAATTAAAAAAATAAAAATCAATATAATATTTTTGTAATTCTTTGTGCATTTTTTTCCAAATATGGTGCCCTTTAACTTGACAAAAGGATTTCATAAAAAACAAAAATATAAATAAAAATATACACAATTCATTATATATGTGGTACCCCTATTATTATGGGACCTTTTGCGGTGGCACAACCCGTACACCTTCTTGGCTAAGTTTAGAATGATCTTTTTCCGTAAAGGTTCTAGTAAGATTAACTACTTTTCCACACAATTAAAAAAGGGAAACAAATGCTCCAACTCCCTCTTTATATCAAAGAAGAAAGTTGATGAATCAAAACAAACTTGGAATATGAATATCAATATGCATTCGCTTTATCAAAGCAAAATTCGAATATCATCTCCTCATGGAACAAGACAATTTGGCAAAGTCCAATCATGAGAGCGACTAAAGATATGATTTCACTGACACAAATTAGAAAAGATACCAAGTACATAAAAAAAATATATATATATATCCCTTGTATATGCTCCATTTATTTATAATAAATTTTGTAAAAAAGTGATTTTTTAAAGAATTTATCTTAAAAATTAAATAAAAATTTTAGATTTACATGTAAAATTATTTTATTGGAAGAATGTGATTAAAAATGAGTTTTGAAAAAAAAAATGAATTTTGAGGATGAGGCTCAAACATGATTTATTTTAGTTAATACTTATTTGTTTTAAAATGAGATTCTAGATATCGAAATTCAAAGAATCCTAAATCTAATGTAGTTCATAAGAAATTTGGAAAACCTCTCAAAATCAATAATTCGAATCAACCGATTTCTTAACACGTGAAGGATTACACCTGTTTCTCTCTGTGCCATATATATTCGTTCTATAAAGGTTCTTGAGTCAACCTAGTGGTGGTAAAAAAGCTCGTCGGCTCGGGTTCCGCCCGGAAAAAGCTCGAGCCGGGCCCGGAACGGGCTCGGACCGACTCTGGCCGAGCCCCATTTTGGGAGGTTGGCCCGTAATTAATTAAAAAAATTTTAAAATAATAAAAAAAATTTTAAAGCTAAAATAG